CCGTGCATGTTGAGAAATATCTCCAATATATCCAATACACGAGTCATCTGAGTAAATATAAGAGCTCGATGACCCTCAGCTTTCAATTGACGAAGCAGTACATCCAGTTTCTGTAGTTTACCACAATCGTACTGCACCAGCCACTTGTCAGGAAACGCTATCTGTAGCTTGACCCTAATGGGATGATATATATCATCTATTTCCGTATTTATTTTATGGCGTAACTCGTCCGACATCATGGTCAATGTATATTTCACCAAGTCGCGAGCTACTACTGCTGGAGTGACAAAAGCGTAACGCTTTATTATCTCTTCCGTTTCGGCATATCGTTGAGCGGGCGACTTGACTAAAGCAGCGAGACTGGACATCGTCGACCAGTATTTCTTGGGATTATTAGAATCAATCAATGCTCTTTCCACGGGAACAGAGCCCAGCATCTTACATAACCTGACCAATCCAGTGCCGTATAATGGGCGACGTTTACTGCGAAACGCGTTAACATAACGAATATATTCCCATCGGGCTTTAATTGCAAGTCTAGAGCGGTGCTGAATATTGCGCTGGAACTCCGTAATACTATTATAATCGATACACTTTGAAGCTGACCAAGTTCCCCTCTTCACTGCTCCATACCAATCAATCTTCTGATAAATCAGACTTTCAGGAGATATGCGAGCTAGCTCACTCCATGTCAACCAATCTTCGTTCAGTTCAAAGTTCACAAGCTGAAGATTGAGAAAGTCAATGTTCAACTTATTTTCCTCGGAATCTCTAAATACCCGTCTCCGTATAAGAAATTCTTTGATTTCATAATCTGCAATAGCTGACCGCGACATGGCAAATGATGTACGAATGGGACGTACTTCAAACAGATCCGGATGATTACACACTTTGCGCAACTGCATGAGACAATTAATAATGCCCAAGAAATTTCCCGATCGAAGAGTATTTACTGTAGTGCCACGCGACATAAAATCACTATACAGAAATCTTTGCCTCTTTGATAGACGGCATCTGACCTCTATTTCTCGCTTTCTTGGCAACTGCTTTTCCACGTCACGCTTAAGACGTCGAAGAATATATGGACGCAGAACAGTGTGAAGCCGAGTCACAGCAGCACGCCCATCTTCGTCGACTTGGTCATTACTCTCAATCATTCGATCAACAGGGTGCGAGAACCATTCTTGAAACTCCTTCTGATTAGCGAATCCAGATGGCATATTTTTTGTTATTCCTTGTGGCATCAGAAAATAGAGCAAAGACCACAATTCCATTAAGTTATTTTGTAAAGGCGTTCCGGTAAGTAGCAATCTCCTCTGCGAATTAAAATTAAGCAGAGTCTGCCATCGCTGAGATCTAAAGTTCTTTATATGATGTGCTTCATCGAGTATTAAATAATGCCATTTTCTCTTCTTAAATATGCTAGCATCCTGAACCACTAATTGGTAAGAAGTAATACATACATGAAAGCTATGTTCTTTAAACCATCCAAGCCGTTTTTGCTTGCGCTCTTTAGCATTGCCGTAATAAGTTAAGATAATAAAACCAGGACACCATTTCTTGAATTCCATTTCCCAATTAATAATGACGCTTGTCGGCACGACAATGAGATGAGGACCCCATACACCTTTTTCGCAAGCAAGATGCGCCAGTAGAGCAATAGTTTGAATTGTTTTACCCAAACCCATTTCATCAGCGAGAATACCATTTAGTCCGTTGTTATATAGACTGGCTAGCCAATCGAGTCCAACATGTTGGTACTCGCGAAGTTGACCGCGGAGAAGAGATGGTATGCGAGTGCGGATATTGGCAGTCGACGCAGCCGTAATTTCGGGTGGAGGCGGCTGTGGCTGCGGTTCATTTACGACACACTTTGGTGATGGTTGAACAACTATTACCACCCTGACTTCTGTTTTTGGTAAGTCTACTACCAGATTCTTATTCTGTCTCTGAGTCTCAACAACAGCGCTAGTGCTGTCATCGGTAATGTCCATACTATCATTCTCATTATCGATCTCATTCTCATTCTCATTCTCAGTCTTCTCATTCTCATTCTCAATCTGTTTATCGTGCGCATTCTCAACCTCCTTATCCTGC